AGAATATGCTCTCGGAAACGTTGACACATTGTTCGATAGATATGTCTCGAAACCTCGAGGAACACACAATTTATTGTTTTTATTAATTCACAGTTTAGTTTAAAATTACGTGACTTAAACAGTCGGGTTTATTCTAACAGGGATGTAAAATCTGTTATCGATGTATTGAGATACATGGGTAAAATAAATGGCAGAATGACCTAATCTTCTGGAGAAGTCGGACTCCAAAAGTCGACGTACGATAGAGAATATGATTTGAATCCGACAACAAAGTGATAATCTAGTGAGAGGAAACTCGAATGGCTTCAAGGGAGAAGTTTGATTGATGTCGCAAGTTTAAATCTGAGAGCAAGCTATACGCTACAACCCGATTACAATCACCGATCATGAATATGTAGACTGGCCACAGTCGGGCGATTTTTTCAAACATAGGTGTAATTTTTAATTTAAAAAAATGTGTTCCCCACTCGCCGCGAAATCTGGTAGCGTCCACTGCGCCCTCTATCGGCATCATAAAAACACGGTGGTTTTTAGCGCGTAGTTATGCTAATGAGGTTAGTGGGTAGTATTCTTTAAACCAACCAGAGGCCAGTATGATTTGCGGTCGTGTGGCAAAAGAACCAAGTTGACATCTACACTCAACAATACCGCGAGCAGACGATGTGATTGTTGAATTATTCCCGCGACGAAGCGAAATATGGAAGGTGAAACATGTTTAAACTACAAGATACGACTAGCAGTAGACGTGTTTCCGTGGACCATGGAGGTAATTCTTATTTACCTCCATGCGTGGACTAGTCCGCTATTTCCAATGTGACCCAATGAGACCCAACCTTTCACCCGCCCACTCATGAATAATCAATGACATCATGAATATTTAATAGCAGTCAAATGCCTGCAGATGCGTCCTGTCGGGATTTCTTTCGCGGTCACGCTAGTTTTCCCGATCACGCTAAAAAGGCCAAATTGACAATTAATTATATTTTTTTTGTAAAACAAAAAAGAAGTCCCGACTTTGCCAGTCTAATGAATATGCAATACCAGCTCAAACATAGAGAACATTCATATAGCTTGTATCTGCAATAAGACACATCGAACATAATGCTATAGCTGTTTGGTACGACTGACATTGCAGTAGGTTGACGATTAGCTGAGTTTGTAATTAATTAAATGTTTATCAATGTCCGACATACCATTTTTTAAATCGTGCAATTTCTATTTGACTATACAATCTGTTTTTCAGAATGCTGTGTTTGGTTTAGCACTTGTTTGAATGAAATCCAATACGCCGTTATTCTACAGTACCTGATATAGAGCAGCGCACTAAAGATTATGTTGTCGAAAGACCATAGCAACCATAGCATACAGTATTTCATGAAATACAGCATTCTTTGCGGAAGTTCTAAACTAAAGCCAGGCTGACACTTGCACGACTTTTGGCCACGATTTTGTCGTGGCAAGTCGTGCCATTTTCGGGCACGAACTGGGAGGCTCCCACACTGTTTACGACTTGTTCACGCATAGTTCACGACGAGTTCACGAATAGTTCACGAATGCGTGCCCATCAGTGTCCACATTGACACGAACTGGCACGACGAGTTCACGCATAGTTTGCGCATAGTTTACGCACTTCCCGCATTGGCACGACGAGTTTGCGCAATTCGGACGGTGTCGTGCCGACTTGGGCACGCCATATAAAAAGGGGGCCTCCCCAACCCCTGATCATTTTTGGATTGGCTGTGGAAGAGACAACATGCTGAATGTCAGAGACACAATCATTGCAGGGAAGAGAAGATGCCTATACCTGGCAGCTGCTCTAGCCATTGTTGAAGAGCAGCAGAAAAGGCTGGAAGAGGCAGAAGAGCAAGAAAAGGCAACCCCACCTCGAAGAAAGACACAAAGGAAAGTGTGGGTCAGGGAATGGTTGACCAGAAGGCACTGTCGCGCAGTAGTCGTGAACTGCTCGTGAACTCGTCGTAAACTGCTCGTGAACTTGTTGTGAACTGCTCGTGTCATGCGCAAACTGTTCGTGAAGTGCGTAAACTAGTCGTGAACTGCTCGTGCCATCAATGCGTGAAGTACACGTGACCGTGTCAGTGGGAAGGTACGGCCACGCTGCGACGCGCACCAATTCGTGAACATGTCTTGAACTACTCGTGAACTCGACGTGAGCTGTTCGTGAACTATTCGTGACAGTCGTGGCATGGCGCGCACTGCCACGCACTGGCACGCATCCTCCCGCATCGTCCCGACGAGTTCACGACGAGTTCACGAACAGTTTGCGCATAGTTCACGACCCGGTCGCTAAAGTTTGTCGTGACCAAAATTTTGAACATTTCAAAATTCTCGTCCCGACATGGCACGCAGTCACGATGTGTCACGACGTGTTTACGCACACTTCACGCCAGTTCACGACTAGTTTGCAAGTCGCGCCCAGGTCAAAACTTTATACTTGTGCTTTCTATTTGGAGAGCGCATTAGATTGTGGGAAAATCAGTGTTTATCAACACAAATGTCGCACATGCGCAGCGCGACGATCACCGCGCTTTAATTGTTTAATGTTTTATTATTTTCTAAATCAGTAGTTTGTATTGTGTGGGACGAGGCTATCACATATTAGTAAAAACTATTTCAACTAATACATTATTTATGAGTCTTAGTGAAAAATTGCTTTATGCGCATGCGTATCCTAGTCAATTGCGACAAGAATGCGAGCTATAAACAGTGTTGCCACCATTACACGCAGAGGGAAGCGGAGTATATGAGACAGTTACAGAAAAACACGCCATATATTTAGGTGCGCTCGTGAGTACCGAATATGCAGATGATGGCACATTCAAAAACTGTGGTCGTCGCGCCACGCATGCGCGAGATATGGGACTCATAACAACCAAGATGGCGGTATATTACCGTCATATAAATAAGTAAATGTATGGAGGACGTGTTTAGCCACAACTAGATTTTTTAGAATAAACTGAAATTAC